AAATAATGTTATAGTTGGGGGTCACCACAACATGAGGAACTGTATTAAGGGGTCGCAGCATTAGGAAGGTTGAGAAACGCTGTTTTAAAGGGATACTCTTAGGATGCAAAAGGAGATAACTATGTTGATTGTTCTTGAGTTGAAGGTTCAACATAATATTAACTAGTATTGTTCCAGGAGTGAATAGGACTCTGCTTGAATTTGGGTCGTTTTATGAATGAACGGGGGTTAGATTACTTATGCATTATGAAAACTAGGCTTTTAGAGAACAAACTGATGGATTAATTAACAGATACAAGTGTGACATCTTTTATTAGTTTCTACTGGAATACCAGGACAAGCATCACTGCATTAATTTACTTTCATTCATCCAAATCATTTATGGAAGCAGTGTCCTATTCCTTTTGTTTGAAAGCAACTACCTTAAAACACTTTCAAGAGGGACTTACTTTGGTGCACGCAGGGCCTTCTGGATCTCCTGACTCTTCAAGATCCTTCCAAGATCAGTGTTGGTCATCTTGTGCATTGGCAAGCTGCGTTTAAACAGACCACGTGTACATTATTAGCCATCATAGGACTCCAATAAACAAGTCATTTCTGCCTTACACCTAGTATCAAAAGGGCTATAGTTGGAATCGGTTCCAAAGGAAGTAAGGGATGATAAAAAATAAGAATCATAGAGTTGGAAGAGGTTGGTAGAGGAACATAAGGTTGCTCTCATGCAGGAAAAGCACAATCAAAGCCCACCCAGCAGTTAGCAATCCAACCTCTGTTTAACAGCCTCCAAAGGAGGAGTCTCCACCTAACTCCAAGGCAGTGAATGTAAATAAGCAATACCTGGAAGACACAAGGCAGCCTCCAAACTCCATCTATTTTAACTATTTCCCCCATCAAGGACCCTTTGGCTGGGGATAGGATTCACCCTCCAATCTGCTGCTATGTATTATTATTAACATTGATATTTTGCTGTTCCCCTATGTATTTGTATCTATCAAATGCATTCAAACTGTGTTGATGAGCACCTTTTCCTCTTCTAGGAGGATAAAACTCAAACCTGAAACACTCTGTTTGGACCAGGAAAATGAGTGAAGTGAATTTCACAATGTTAGAATGGGTTAAAGAGAAAAAAGGAGGGAGTGACAAGGAGCAAGGAAGGGGTGAAGGAATGTGGATAAGATAGGATGTTATAATTATGCCACTATGGCGAAGGATGGATATCTGCGCGAAAGGTAGAAAGAGATCGAGTTATCTGAAGAGATAGGAGGGGAAAGGAAGTGAGTGAAAATTGTTTTCAGAATTTATGATTTACTGTGTTTATATACTGCCTTTCTCACCCCTGGGGGACTCAAGATGGTTTACAACATACTAATGCCAACATATGTTAAAAAGTCATAATAACTAAACAGTAACATATAACTATAAATTAAAATCATTAAAACCATTGAACGTAAGACATAAGCAACATTTAAACATTAACACAAAGCATTAAAACATGATCCAAAATCATAAACCGTAGACATTCCAACTGTCATTGCACATATTCTCTAATTATTCCTTGGTCTACATTACTTTACTGGCCAAAGGCTCACTCCCACAATTGTGTCTTTGTTTTCCTTCTGAAGGCCAGGAGTGAGGGCGCTGATCTAATCTCGCTGGGGTTGAGTTCCAGAACCGAGGAGCCACCACTGAGAAGGCCCTATCTCTCCCCCCGACAACCGCATGTGCAAAAAAGGTGGGACTGAGAGCAGGGCCTTCCCAGAAGTTCTTAACCTCTTTGATGGTTCATAGGAAGGCCCTGTCTATCTGTAATTTTCCTTCTGCTGTCTCTATTATGTTTTCTACAAGCATCCTTTTTATCTCTTTTTCTGTAAACTTTTCAGACAGGAAATTGTTTGGGAACACAAGGAAAAGTTTACAGAAAAAGTGATAAAAAGGATGCTTGTAGAAAACATAATAGAGACAGGCATTGAAGTCAGAGAAGAAAAATTACAGATAGACAAGGGGAAAGTTTGATTTCTTGGCTTGGACATGCATGATTGTGTCAATTTGAGACTATAAAACTCACAATTCAGATTAAGTCAAAACACGGCACTTTTCTTCATGCCCATCTTTGGCTTGTCTTGATTTGGAGACCACCCTTTAGCATTTTTCTGAAGAAAAATGTTTCAATCTCCTCAGTTCCTAGTCTTAATTAGGAAGTAAAAAAGGACCAGACATCTCTAACTTCTACTGATTGGGCGAAAACAAGCTTACTTGTAGTTGCTCTTCAGGGTAGCCGGCTTGCGCCAAGTGCCATACAAATCATCCAATTTGCGGAAAGCGCTTTCAGTCCAAATGCAGAAACGTCCGACATGACCGCCAGGAGCCAGTCTCAAGATGTTCAGCTTGTTGACATTGAGAACAGTAATTCCTGTTAATGAAAAAAACGTGTTTTATATCCTCCAAGTTAGGAAATAGCCACAACTGCCAAATATGAAGATCTAATTGTGTGTTGGGTGCTAATATGCTAGATACCTATCAAATTTCTCCTTCTAAAGTAGGAGTCTTGTATCCCACTATTTAACTGAATCAGAACTTCCACCAAATCATGTGTTTCAGAAACACGGACCAATGAAGTGGAATCTCATCATTTTTTTAGCCCTTCTGCCCACAAACTTTCAAGACCATACACCTTGTTCTGTAAGCAACAGCTACCTGGGATATTCCTGAAAGCTTTTATGATCCCGTTGTCCTCATTGAAGATAATGCAGGGTCCTTTGCGTTGGATGCGACGGCGATTCCGCATCTTCCCTTTGCCTGCGCGCATGCGCTGGGAGGCATAGACCTAGTGTACAAAACAACAAAGCTGTTGAAATCCAAACACACCACACACTTTCTGCGTGAACGAATGGATCTGTCCAACTCAGAACTTCACCATCACCATTGTTCATCTGAAACACGGACCAGTGAAAAATTCATCACTTTGCAGAGACAACGAAAACTCAAATATGCTTACATAACTTCAGAGGAATATTCTTGGATTAGTTACTAACTGCCATACAGAAATATGTAAATGAAATTGGATACTAGGCTTTGTATTAAAAAAAGCAACAACATTCTAATAAAGGGTGAAATATATATTTTCAGACTCGCAATATCACAATTCTGTATCTGTATCTGCAGGGTTTTTTAATATATGTTTTTGTATTTTCTCTATGTCATTCATTGTGTATATTTTATATTTAAATATTTTTGAATATGTTGTGCACCACCTTGAGCTGTCAGAAGAGGGCGGTAATAAATAAAACCTATTATTACCATTGCTATCATTATTATTATCATCAGTCCAGGGACAACCAAAGTACCACAAGATCTCTAGCTATTAGAAAACAATACAAATATTTCAATCGATACCAAAACCACTCGTTTTAAAAGTAATGTCCTGCTCACCTTTTTTATATCATTCCAGGCTTTCAGCTTCTTGAGGAGCAGGACAGCTTCCTTTGTCTTTTTGTAACCCTCAACTTTGTCTTCGACAACCAGAGGAAGTTCTGGGATCTCCTCAATGCGATGGCCTGGCAGAGAGGAAGTTTGGAGATTAAGTGTTATCCTGATTACAAGGACAAGATTGTGATTATTAATGAGCCTAAACTATGAGAAGAAATAATAATAATAATAATAATAATAATAATAATAATAATAATAATAACAACAACACTTTATTTGTACCCCGCTACCATCTCCCCAAGGGACTCGGTGCGGCTTACATGAGGCCGAGCCCGAATACAACAATAACAAGCAAATCAACAACAGTACAAGCAATTAAGATAAAACATAGACAATAAAATATACAACATTATCAATAAGACAACACAAAATTAAAAACAGTGGGAAGGCCAAATGTAAAGTTAAAATGGTAATAATGCTGGGACATGGACGAAAGGTGATAGTGGCGTTTGTGGAAGGGCATACGAGCAGATCTAAAATTCCTTTATGTTGCTCAGTACAATTTCTCTTTTTTTTTTTAAGCAACGGTTAATAAAATACCTGCTCCCTCCAGGATTCTGGGCTATACTTCTACCCTCCAACTGCAGTTCTGCTGCATGGTCTAAATATTCCCCAAAACACTTGCCTTTAGACATCACCAGTGCCGGAAGAGCTGAAGCCGCCAAAGCAGAGCAGATGGCATAGCGCTTCTGGGTGATGTTCACCCGACGATGCCAGCGTCGCCAAGTCTTGGTCGGGGCAAACATGCGGCCTCCACGACACATCTATTTACTCTGCATAAAGGATGCAACTATAATATTCATTACAGAAGTCCCCTCAGCCCTTTCAGCCTTGCTCAGAATTAGCTGGTCACCAACCATCTGCACCAGCCTTGTGACAGCAGGCAACTGTCGCTGAGTGCAGAGTCAGACGCAAATTACGACATCATGGCAAGCCTGGGTCTGTTTTTTCTGAGTACTTTCAAACTGCCTCAGATTTCAAATGGCATAGTATTATTGGCTATCAAAGCTAGTTTCTCTATCTACTATGAAGGCAGCTATGCAGGAGGAAAGGTGGGATATAAATCATAACAGCAAGGGCCCTTTCACACAGCTATATAAACCAGAATATCAAGCCAGAAAATCCCACAAGATCTAGGTTATCTGAGTCCACTGCCACATATCTCAGTTCAAAGCAGAAAATGAGGGATTTTGTTCAGCTATGTGAAAGGGGTCTGATTGTTAAGTCAGGCCTGCCTTAAGTGATAGCATTAGGATTGACATTTTACTTCAAAAGAGGAGTTTCTCTCCTAAAGGGATTCTCAGGAAGGGCAGCCAGAATGAAGGATACATTGCCAAAGGCACCCTGGCCAGACCGATGGGTTCCACCTCCGCGAACCCTTGGGATACGAGCCACAGCTCTGCCGGTGCCCCATGATTCAGCGCTGGTCTGATGCCCTGGAAGGGAAAGCAGTACAATATTCGTTACCTGCTAATCAAACATTTTGACGCAGTTTCCCTGAACCTGAAAAAGCCAACGTCAGAACTTCCACTAAGATCACAGAATTCAGAAACACGGACCATAGAAGTGGAATCTCATCATAGTTATGTGGCACAGGAAGAAAGCTCTTGCAGAACACAATCTCCCAAAATGTGAAAAAACACACAGCAGCCTAGAAGCATCCATGTTGCCTCTTCAAATGAGCAACACATAAACAGAGCTAAAGGAATAATCTAACATATACTGTGTATTTCACATTCCATTGAACTCGTGGCATAAAACTGACAACTAAGACTTCTCAACATCTATATCAATAAATGATAGGCAGTCCCCATGTTAATGAACAAGTTCTGTAGATTTCCTCTTAAGCTGAATTTGTATGCAAGTCAGAATGGAAACTTTTAAAAGGGTAACTTCAGCCACACACACAAGCTTTGGATAATATCCTCACTTTCTGTCTCTGTGAGAATTGGATATAGAAAATTTGGCTTGTTGTGGAAACAAGAGTCAGTGATAAAGATTCAGTTGAGACACCTTTTCACCATGATGACTCTTCCAGGAGTTAATTTCCCTTCCGAGATGATTTCTGTCACTTCCTGTTGTCTCAACCCCCTTTGTAACTATGAGTTGTTTGTAAGTTGGATGTTTGTGACTCAGAGACTGGCTGTATATATTATATAATAACTTAAAAACTTTTTAGTACCCCACCAGCATCTCCCCAAAGGGACTCGGATGGCTTACATGAGGGACCAAGCCCAGAGCAAACAACAAAGTGTATAAACTGAATGAAACACAGTTAAAGCAAGATAACATATAACAATCTAATTAAACAATTAAAAGCAACAAGGTATAAAACATAATTAAAATCAAAAGCAACCTCAACAACCAATAACCAGGAATTCGATGGGCATGATCAGAATTAGAGAGGGCTGAGCATGGACTTAAGCAAAAAAAAAAAAAAGAGTATAGGGCCAGGGCTGGGGATAAAATGCTAAGTACAATCTATCGGTCAATTAGGGTTTAGCGTACATTAACAGGGACCTAACCATCATCAAATGCATACTGGAACATCTATATAATATAATAGACATAGACATAGACATATATATATATATATATATAAAAATAACACACACACATATAGTAAAAGTGAAAATGTTTGTATGTATGTTTCTATTTGTGTTAAAAAGTGTTTTCCAAGATGGCCCCCACATCCAGAGAGCCTTTCGACTCCCACCAACAGATCTGAACCAAACTCAGCACACAGATCCCTCATAACCAACTTAAAATAATGGCGAGGTTTGGGGGGATGGGAAGAGATACAGACCCAGGATGATGGAAGTTGTAGTTCACTCACATACTTGTGCATTTTCTAATGAGAACCTTCATAAAATCCAAAAATAAGAACTACTTCTGATATTCAGCATTACAAAAGACTTAAGCTAATCTATTATTTAAAACCCACTGGGACACCACTAAGAAACTGAATCTCCACAGCACTGTTTTGAAACGTACCTGCAAGTTCGCTCACAGCATAGGGCTGCCTGCTGTTCTTCCGCAAATTGGTGTGAACAAAGTTCACAATATCTGGGCGAATCGGGGCCTTGAACACAGCCGGCATGGTGACATTTTTACCGGACACTTCCCCCTTTTCGGAATACACAGAAATCAAAGGCCGAGTACAAGCCTGGATTTGGGTGGGGAAACACAAAAGGAAAGATTGTTATAATAGACAAATTCCACTCAAAGTTACGCTGCTCAAAACAAGAACAAATATTGCTCAGTTTTAGAGAATCTTCAGCTCATCGGTGACAGCATATGGACAGCAGGCAACTGTCCCTGAACACCGGATACGACGCAAATTACAACATCATAGCAATATGTGCAGTCATATATAAAGAAGTGCACATCCAGTCCTAATATAAATGCAACATCAGGACTAGATGTGCCCACTCTTTGCCTAAGTGTTACTATCAGTGAGTGACATACAATAATCTAATATACACCTCAATTTTCAAAACACTGAAACCAAAAAAGTAAAAGGACAGCAGTAAAAGGGGTACTCTTTATAATTTGGACATTACAATGGCTGCCTGCTTAGAATTCCTTCTTTAAAAACAAAGGTGTTCATACCCCAAAGATTGCAACAGCAAAAAAAGAAAGCCTTAGGAGTGCATCTATGTTGTAAAACGAATGTACTTTAATTGCATTTACAAAGTCTTGAGCCTGTTCTGCCAAAGAATGCTGATGCCTCAACAAACTACAAATCCCAGCATTGCAGAACACTGAGCCATGACCATTACATTTGAGATGACATCCCTAAAAGAGGCGCTTCAGGTGCAGTTTCCTCTTTGGCTCAGCACTAAGATGATTCAAATCTCATTTGCATCCCAATTTTGGCAAGATAATTTAATCCCAAAAGGTGAGCAACATATTCCAGAAAATATGGTATTTAGATTTGAAAACTGGGTCATCAAATTGTAAACAGGCAAGAGGGTCTTGTTGAAAAGTGTGATCACAGCTCTTGGAAGCTTACCGAAGAGGTATTTCTGAGGAGGTTGCAGCATATGAAACTTCAAAAAAGCATTTTTCTATTCTGTTATACAGGCTGTCTTCGGATTCCTCTGAGATTAAAGGCACTGACTACAAGGAGGGCTGTGCTGGATTCAACCACAGACTGATTCTGCCTAGTGTTCTAAGTGGCAAATCACATCTCTATGTAAAATATTTTGCAACCAGAGCATGACTGCAATACCATTCTTATTTTTCAGCATAACACATGGCATTTCAAAGAATCCTAGAGTTGGAAGAGACCCCACAGGCTTTTAAAGATGAAGATTTTAAAGATCAATTTCAGGGGATGTTGTGGTTTTAGGTTTGAATATATGCATCAAATATATTTGCATGATTTTAACTGTGAATCTTTTAATACTCTTTATATTTAATTCTGTTTTAATATTTGTATATTTTAAATGAGGCTATCGTTTTTATGTCAAGCCATCCAAAGCATCTTGCCATAAAAGCACTAGGATACAATTTAGTTTATGTATGTTATTTATACATATGTGATTATATATGTTTTACCAGGAGCCCCCAGTAGTGCACTGGGTTAAACCCTTTGCCAGCAGGACTGAAGATCAACAGGTCGGAGGTTCAAATCCAGGGAGAGCACAGATGACATGAGAGAAGCCTTCCACAGGGATGGTAAAACATCAAAACATCTGGGCAACATCCTTGCAGACGGCCAATTCTCTCACACCAGAAGCAACTTGCAGTTCCACAAGTCGCTCCTGATACAGAAAAAAGTATATTACTTATTATTATGTCTATATAGCTGATCAAGCTACTTGGGATCCCTTTATTTTATCAGTTTTAAATTTTTATTTTATCAGTTATAAATTTTTATTTATACCCCAATTTGGCTCCCCAAAAGAGCCTCAAGAGCGGCTTGACATAAAAGCATTATCAAATTAAAAATATACAATGTATTTATTTACTTACTACATTTGTACCTTGCTCTCTCTCAGAGTGGCTTACGAGTTAAATGTACATTCAATGTATTATATTATTAGGTAAAGGTTTTCCCCTGACATTAAGTGCTCATCTTCATTTCTAAGCCGAAGAACCGGCGTTGTCCATAGACATCTCCAAGGTCCTGTGGCCGGCATGACTGCATGGAGCACTGTTACCTTCCCGCCGGAGCGGTACCTATTGATCTACTCACATTTGCATGTTTTCAAGCTGCTAGGTTGGCAGAAGCTGGGGCTGACAGCTCACGCTGCTCCCCGGATTTGAACCTGTGACCTTTTGGTCAACAATCTCAGCAGCTCAGTGCTTTAACCCACTGCGCCACCAGAAGCTCCATTATATTATAATATTATATTATTGGCATAGTACAATATTAGTATTATATATTACTATATTGTACTATGCCACTATACCATAATATTCTTAGTAATATTACATGTAATACGACATATATAATTAACATTCTTATGTTGTATTATTAGTATTATATTGTACATTATACATTACATAATGTGTTACATGTATGCAAACATTAAAACAGAATTAAACACAAGCAGTATTACAAACATGCAGTTCAAACCCATCAAAACATATTCAAAGTGAAAATAGACTAGATCTTCAACCACCTTCCTCTTTAAATGCCTGTTTGGATAAAAGGATTTTAAGACAGCCTTGAAACAGGCTGCTAGGGATTGTGGAAGTCCAAAACACCAGGAGGGCTGAAGTTTGCCCATGCCTGAGATAATGTATCCCCGTGCCTAAGGCCTGTTCTCTGCCTGAAGGCCTCCACGCGGCGATCCAAAATGGCGCCTGGCCGGCCTTCCTGGAATGGTGGCTTTCCTCCTTCGCTCCTTTCCTTTCTTTCCTCCCTTCTCTTCCTCGGCTTCTCTGCCTCCCTTCTCCTTCCTTCCTTCTTTCCCAACAATCCCTTTATTACCCCAAAGGCTGCCTCTCACCATGACGGCGCCGCTCCCGTGTCGCGGAGGAGCTCCCCACGCCGCCGCCTCTGTCGCGGCCCAGCCGGAAAAGGAAGTTCTTCTCACAACCGCTCTTCTTTGGGGGACTCTTCCGCCTCGTAGCCCCGCCCCCTTTTCTCTATCGAGCCAAACTTCACTGTTTTTACGATTTTTTTAAAAAAACCCGCCTTTTCTAAAGCAACATTTCACCATTTGATTGTTTTCTGTGACATGAATAAGGTCAATCCGTCTCAGAATGGAGAGGGACTCTTTCTTTATTAAAACCGCTTCACTGTGCGGAAGGATTCAGACAGCGGTCCAATCAGGACGCGAGGAAAGCGCAAGGGGGGAAAAGGCCGCAGTTCGAAAAGAAACAAAGATGGCCGCCTCGCTGCAGAAACGCCGTGAATTTGGTCTTCGCTTTTGCCGTTTCCTTCAGCAGTGAGTCTCCCTTTCAGTCCCCTTTTTTTGTCTCCCATTTGTATCGTTAGTTTAATATCTCGTGCTGTTGTGATAGATATCAGACATGCGCCTTTCATCTCAAGAAAGCATCCCGAGCTTTGAAGATCACCTGGGAAGGAATCCCACTGGAGCATTGCAGCACATCTTGAAGCCAGACAAAGACCGTAACGACCCAAAAAGCTACAGACCAATCTCCCTGTTGTGCCACCTCTACAAAGTTCTGGAGAGACTTATTTTGCATACAATTATGGAAAATATAGACCCATGTCTGATCCCACAGCAAGCTGGCTTCAGGAAAGGCAAAAGCTGCACATCGCAAGTGCTGAACCTGACTCAGCACATAGAAGATGGCTTTGAAAGGCAGCAGATCACAGGAGCTGTCTTCATAGACCTGTCAGCAGCCTATGATACTGTGAACCACCGCCTCCTCCTGAGAAAAATGTATAATATCACAAAGGACGACCACCTCACGCGCCTCATAGGAAACCTGCTACAAAACAGGAGCTTTTTTGTTGAGTTCCAGGGCCAGAGAAGCAGATGGCAGAAACAGAAGAACGGCCTGCCTCAGGGGAGGGTGCTTGCTCCATCCATGTTCAACATCTACACAAATGACCAGCCACTGCCAGAAGGGACAGAGAGCTTCATCTATGCTGATGAGGAGCGGCTTAAGGAGCTGGGCATGTTTAGCCTGAAGAAGAGAAGGCTGGAGGAGATATGATAGCCATGTATAAATATGTGAGAGGAAGCCACAGGGAGGAGGGAGCAAGCTTGTTTTCTGCTTCCCTGGAGACTAGGACGGAACAATGGCTTCAAACTACAAGAAGGGAGATTCCATCTGAACATGAGGAAGAACTTCCTGACTGTGAGAGCCGTTCAGCAGTGGAACTCTCTGCCCCAGAGTGTGGTGGAGGCTCCTTCTTTGGAAGCTTTTAAACAGAGGCTGGATGGCCATCTGCCAGGGGTGATTTGAATGCAATATTCCTGCTTCTTGGTAGGGGGTTGGACTGGATGGCCCATGAGGTCTCTTCCAACTCTTTGATTCTATGATCTGATGATCGTGCCATTACTGCTCAAGCAGGGAGCTTTGAGATGGCAGAACAGAAGCTCTCCGAAGCTCTAGGTGCTCTTACTGCCTATTACAGGGAAAACCAACTGATCCCTAATCCATCTAAAACACAGACATGCGCCTTTCACCTTAAGAACAGACAAGCATTACCTGGGAAGGGATCCCACTGGAGCATTGCAACACACCCAAATACCTGGGAGTCACTTTGGACCATGCTCTGACCTACAAGAAGCATTGCCTGAACATCAAACAAAAAGTGGGTGCTAGAAACAATATCATAAGAAAGCTGACTGGCACAACCTGGGGATCACAACCAGACACATTGAAGACATCTACCCTTGCGCTGTGCTACTCTGCTGCTGAGTAGGCATGCCCAGTGTGGAACACATCTCACCACACTAAAACAGTCGATGTGGCTCTTAATGAGACATGCCGCATTATCACGGGGTGTCTGCGCCCTACACCACTGGAGAAATTACACTGTCTAGCCAGTATTGCACCACCTGACATCTGCCAGGAAGTAGCAGCCAATAGTGAAAGGACCAAGGCAGAGACATCTCCAGCTCATCCCCTTTTTGGGTATCAGCCAGCACGTCAACGACTTAAATCTAGAAATAGTTTTCTAAGATCTACAGAGGAACACCTCAGCAAGCGAGAGTCCAAAAGTGGCAGGCTCAAATCCAGAACCTCAACCAATGGCTGATACCAAATGAGAGACTCCCCCTTGGGCACACAGAGGACTGGGCGACTTGGAAGGCGCTGAACAGACAGCGCTCTGGCACCACGAGATGCAGAGCCAACCTTAAGAAATGGGCTACAAAGTGGAATCCTCGACCTGCGAGTGTGGAGAAGAGCAAACCACTGACCACCCGCTGCAATGCAACCTGAGCCCTGCCACATGCACAATGGAGGACCTTCTTGCAGCAACACCAGAAGCACTCCAAGTGGCCAGCTACTGGTCAAGGGACATTTAATCAACTACCAAACTCACAAGTTTTGTATTTTGTCTGTTTGCTTGCTTTGTTCTGTTAGAAATGTAATATAATTTGACTGGTTGTCCTGACACGACAAATAAATAAATAGTGATAGATATAAATATATATCTGCTCTGTGCATAATGAGTGCCTTAAAAACAAAAGAAAAAATGAACGAAATCACACCAAATTTGGCAACAAAATGTCTCACAACACAAGGAGTGACCATCACTCAAAAAATTGCTGGGATTTATAGTTCACCTACAATCAAAGAGCTTTCTGAACTCCACCAATGATGGAATTGAACCAAACTTGGTACACAGGACTCCCATGACCAACAGAAAACGCTGGAAGGGTTTGGTGGGCATTGACCTTGAGTTTGGGAGTTGTAGTTCACCTACATCCAGAAACTACCATGGACTCAAGCAATGATGGATCTGGACCAAATTTGGCACGAATACTTAATATGCCAAAATGTGAACAGTTACTGGGATTTATAGTTCACCTACAATCAAAGAACCCCACCAACGACAGAATTGGGCCAAACTTCCCACACAGAACCCCCATGACCAACAGAAAATACTCACGGCCACCCAGTCCAACTCCCTTCATCAGGGCAAGAAAACTTAATCAAAGCCCTCCTGACAAAGAGCCATCCAGCCGTAGATACAGATAGATATGATTCACACACACACAAATATAGTATCATAGATTTGAAAGGGACCCCTAAAGAAGGACTATGATATTCCAGAGTAGGCTAACCAGACACTCTCTACATCAACACTGACAAAGAAACAACAAGAAATACTGCTTATCTACAAACATAAAGAAATTACATATATTAGAAACCAACACTTTCTCATCACTTTATTTTCCAGATCACCAGGCTGGGCCACAGCAACGTGTGGCAGGGGATGGCTAGATATTTCAATCCTTTCTTGTGAAAAGTGTTTCAAACTACACTTAGAAAGAAATAGCTACAGAAAATAAGCACCTCACACTTGATCACAATTCTCCCAAAATGTCATCTCTTAATTTTATATCTGCAACATGAAATTGATGCAGATTGGATCCGTTTTAAAGCTATGTTTCGGGCATTTTTGAAATTTGTATATTTATTAAAATATACATACAATGTAAATATTTGTTGTGTACAGTGTTATATTTTCAAGTTGTCATATAGCATTGAATTGTTGCCTACCTGTAAGGCTGCTCTGAGTCCCCTTTGGGGTGAGAAGGGCGGGGTGTAAATATGGTAAATAAATTAATTAATTAAACCTAGAGTTCAACATTATGTTACTTATGAGGCCTGATCGAGTACATTCTCTTGCTAAAGGTTGTTTTTATTTGTTCATTTTAACCTAGTTATTTTAACTGTTGATTTTAATAGTTTGTTTTGTTTGTTTACTTTGCTTATTTCGATACTGCTCTTGCCATTGAATGTTTGCCATTTTGTTTTTGGAGGCCACCCTGAGTCCCCTTTGGGAGAGAGGGAAGGTTAGAAATAAAACTGCATTATTATTATTACATATTGTTGTTGTCTGTATTTTAGAACATATGATGAAGGAAAGAAGGATGCCAGCAAAGGGCCCTGTACTTTTGAGGTAAGCATTAGGCATGTGCAACCCATTAGTTTTTTTAAAAAAGTTTTGACAAAAATGTTTTTTTAACCACAATAGCTATCTTATTGAACGTCTCCCATATTAAACAATAAAAACCAATATTAACCAATTCTATATTTTCATTAAATCCTATAGTTGGAGGGGACCCCCGAGGGCCATCTAGTCCAACTCTTCTTCCAGGCAAAGTCTCCTGACTGATGGCCATCCAGCCTCTAAACCAGTGTTTCTCAACCTGGGAGTCGGGACCCTTGAGGGGGTCGCGAAGGGGTGTCAGAGGGGTCACTGAAGACCATCAGAAAATACAGTATTTTCTGTTGGTCATGGGGGGTTCTGTGTAGAACGTTTGGCCCAGTTCTATTGTTGGTGGGGTTCAGAACTCTCTGATTGTAGGTGAACTATAAATCCCAGCAACTACAACTCCCAAATGTCAAGGTCTATTTCCCCCAAATTCCACCAGTGTTCATGTAGGGGCATATTGAGTATCCGTGCCAAGTTTGATCCAGATCCATCATTGTTTGAGTCCACAGTGCTCTCTGGATGTACGTGAACTACAACTCTCAAACTCAAGGTCAATAGCCACCAAACCTTTCCAATATTTTCTGTTGGCCGTGGGAGTTCTGTGTGCCACGTTTGGTTCAATTCTATTGTCAGTGGAGTTCAGAATGCTCTTTGATTGTAGGTGAACTATAAATCCTAGAGACTCCCAAATTACAGAAGAAGAAAAAACCCTCCCAAGCCTACCAATATTCAAATGTGGTCGTATTGGGTATTTGTGTCAAATTTGGTCCAGTGAATGAAAATACATCATGCATTTCAGATATTTACATGACATTTCATAACAGTAGCAAAATGACAGTTATGAAGTAATAACGAAAATAATTTTATGGTTGGGGGTCACCACAACCTGAGGAACTGTATTAAGGGGTCACGGGATTGGAAAGGTTGAGAACCACTGCTCTAAACTAATTGATATGCTGTCCCTATTGAGTTGGAAGGGACCCTCAAAAGAACACGGAGATTTTCTTGCTAGAAATATGTCAGTCTCAGTCCTCTTTGCAGATTCAACCATTTATTGGAACTCTGTCTGGCTGCTGCTACTGAGCGACACATCTCTCCCCTCTCCTCATTGGGGCTTTCTGATGCTGAGCAGAATTCTGGGAAATGTAGTTTAGGGCAGGGCCTTTTGCATTCACTGACATAGGGCTCCTCGTCTTCCCAAACTACATTTCCCAGAGTTCTGTGCTTTTTTCCCCAGTGAACACTGCTCCTTGCTTTCTCTCTGAACATAAGGAAGAACTTCCTGACTGTGAGAGCTGTTCAGCAGTGGAACTCTTTGCCCCGGAGTGTGGTGGAGGCTCCTTCTTTGGAAGCTTTTAAACAGAGGCTGGATGGCCATCTGTCAGGGGTGATTTGAATGCAATATTCCTGCTTCTTGGCAGGGGGTTGGACTGGATGGCCCATGAGGTCTCTTCCAACTTTTTGATTCTATGATTCTCTCCTAATGATGAGAGGCCATTAATTTACAAAGGAATGGGAGCCTTTTTGAGTTTGCTTTGCTTGCTTGCCATGGAAATGACTTTGGAAGGGAGCCTTGCGAGATTTCCAAAATGCAAATGAAAAAGGATGGGTTTTTATTCTTAAGTTTTAGGCACAGGCCAAGCCCACATGTCAGAAATCACTTTGAAAGTACAGATTTTACCCATTTTAATCCAACTTTAGAAAGTTTTGCACCAGCCTAGTAAACATGCATTATTTTTCCAAACAAAACATTGTGCTTTATGAAAACAATGTAAATAAATGTTTTGTCTTTTTATTTGTTACTCTGCTTGGCTTTGTTTTTGTAATGTAGCCAGAGGAAGAGAAGCAGAAAGGAAGGGATGGATGTCAATACTATACTATTAAAGCTTGGAACCTGTAGCTCTCTTGTTTTGGAAAGTATACCTGTTTGTTTTGAAATAATGCACCAGTTCTAAACAAATTGGTGCCATTCTCTCCCCAATGCCTTTTAATATTTACATGAAACCGCAGGGAGAGATCATGCTTAGGCATGGGGTGGGATGTTATCTACTGCTGATTATATCCAAATTGGCTAAGTTACATCAGGCGGGCATGGCTTTGCACCAGCCTTTTCATGGCCTCACATTATATTAGACAGCCTATTCTTTTTTTAGGGCACACCTTCAAAACCAAGGTGCGCATCAAAGTCAATGGTATATTACAGTCATCCTTCCCCTGCAATATCATTTTAAATGTGCCTGATTAAAACAGCTGTTTTTTTCTGCCAGGCAGATGTTTACGGCTATTTGAATGGCGAGGGACATGCAAATCCCTTGGAGAACTTCTGGCAAAGAAGCGGGGAAATGATTGTTCTGGAGAAAGCAGTGAGTAGCATAAAATTCCTGACTTGTTTTTCTGGTTAGAGCAGCCACTATAGGAAGCCTCTTTTATTCTTGCAGAAGCCCTGTGAAGAAACCAGCCAATTAGAAGAAACCATCCAACTAGGTGATGTCTCTGGTTCTGTGGAGAAGTCTTTGGCACTTGCTTTGCCAGTTTCAAGAGCGAGGTGTGTTGCATCCTAACTCTTACATTTTCCTCTAAAAGGAATGGGCATTCTTCTACCAAACAGAAATGTGTGTTCATTGTCTCTTACATTAGCGAGCAAGTAAAATATTGTATGTGTTGTCGAAGGCTTTCATGGCTGGAATCACTGGGTTGCTGTGAGTTTTTCGGGCTGTATGGCCATGTAACAGTAGCATTCTTGCTGTAGCTCAGCAGCAGTCACAGCAGACAGGGGCTGATGGGCTCACTGATGACTTTGAGTCAGATGGGATTGTGGGCTTTCCTGGAATTCATTCTGATACAGGCCTTGGGATTCCTTCTCATGCAGGCCAGGAAAGTGAAACTGTTTTAGATAGAGGCCAGCACAGATGCAGAGCCTGAGAATTTGTTTCTTAACCTCAAGGTTAGGGAAAAGAGTTGGAAGCATCCTCTCCAGATAAGGACTCTAGCTTCTGATTTAAGCAAGGAGGCTTGCTTGCAGATTCGTACAAATAACCAGCTTCATAGATCTTCACACCTTCGAGGGAAGCAGACATTCCAGATAATACGTAATGCTTTTATGTCTGTTTATTAATAGCTAACGGGCACTTTGCTCTTTGGTTCAGGCAATGTGGCGTTCAAGTTGACAGCTAGGCCTGGCTCTCTCGTTTCAAGTCTTGGTTTTGGATCTAAGTATCCTATGGTCTTGTTTTGTATTCCTGTTTCAACTTTTGCTCATAGTTTTGGATCTAAGTACTTCATGTTCATGGTTTGTATTCCTGTTCAAGTTTTGCTTATCAACTTAAGTTGCCTTGGTGCTCTGGGACTATCTTTGGACTATTTTATCCCTGAATTTACAAGAGAGAATTGATTACCATCTATTTAGATTATATACCTGATTTCCTTATTTCTGGATTTTTCCTGTGTGTGTGTGTGTGTGTGTGTGTGTGTGTGTGTGTGTGTATATATATATATATATATTGTGTTTTAAAATAAACTGCTTTTACCTTGGACTCTTATGTGACACTGTGGTCATAGATGGCTTCAGGCCTGTGGTACAACAGTTGTCTCCTTATGTTTCGCCTGCATCTACGACAGGCATCCTCAGAGGTTTGTTCTGAGGTCTATTGGAAGTGAGGCAAGTTGGGTGTATATATATCTGGAAAGTCCAGGATGGGAGAAAGGACAGCATGGTGCAACTCTTTAATTTGGGTGTCATGGAGACTGCTTTATTAAATGCCTTCTGCCTTAAGAAAGGGTGGAACATGGGAGAAAAAAAGGCTTGTGCATTACAGAATCTATTAAATTATGATTCGATGATGTAACGGAGCGGATTATTTAGTGTAATTTAGATTATTGTGTATTTTGATATGTTGATTCTCTGTTTGTGTTCTATTGTAAATGGTTTTTATATGTTGTACACCGCCGCGAGTCGCCCCAGGGCTGAGAGCGGCGGTCAACAAATGCACCAAATAAATAAATAAATAAATAAATAAATATTTTCTTACTGGACTTACTGAAGCAATAGAGCAGTAAATGTGACAATTCAGCCTGCAGCATTTAGCTCTTCCAAATGGTAACAATCAAAAATTGTGGGGCAGAGAATGTAAACTAGAGATTGATTTGTGATTAAGTCTTCCTATGGCTTTGTTTGTTTCTAGGCAGCTCATTTCGTTCTTCACCATGGCTCATAACCCACATATGAGCCACTTAAAAACAGACAGGAACAGTGCAGCACCATGTCTTCCATTGTGGGTGCGATGTGATCGCTCCGATCCTCCGCAGACCATTTGGATGGGAGCTGAGCCTTTCAGCACCGGGAACAATTCCACAGGCATAATTCTTCACTCAATTACCTGCAAAGGTAAGCTCTCCTCTCGATTGGGCATTTCTCACAATGAGATTTGCTGGGCAGAAGTGTGGGAAGTATGGGAAGGCTTTAAAAGGGAGCACGTATTACAAAAATGTAGCACGTCACTGTTTTTTCTAGAATCAAAATGGAAAGTTCACAGTAGTTCAGGAACTGTTTTTTTTAATGTGATTTTTTGCTACATGCATCTGATAAAGGAAATAGTCACTTTAAAGTCAAGCAGTTGTCCCTGGAAATGTGACTCCAATGGATGCACTTCCCTTCTTACTTCAAATACATGTAGTCTTTATACAGATGTATTATTCATTTGATAGCTTTTATCTCAGAGAAATATACTATCGCAGCTGCCAGAAGCAAGGCAACGTATGTTTAGTTGGCTTGATAGAAATCTCCTAAATGTGAACACGTGCTGGTGGGAATCTGGCACATTATTCTATAAACTCTTTGGGAGTTTGACAATACTTGCTAAATTTTATTTCCAGGTCCCGTGCCAAAGAAAAAATGTTCGACAAGTCTGGAAAACCTGAAAGAGAAACATCGAACAACACATCGGTGTACTGATGTAGATGTAGGTTTTTTTAAAAATTCACATTTGTTGTAATAATAATAATAATAATAATAATAATAATAATAATAATAATATCATCTCCCCAAAGGGACTCGGGGCGGCTTACATGGGACCAAATGTCCATAAGACAATAAACAAGCAATCCAGCAAACAAAAACATAATTAAAATAAGTACATGATCAAATGGAGCATTTGTCCAGTTAAAAACAAAGTAAATAGACACAAAAGTATAAAACATTAGCATTAAAACTCCATCCAATCAATATTCAAATCCAGATCCAGGAACCAGGGCTCCTAAAATGGGCATGACCTGGCTATCAAAAGGGCAGAACATGGGAAAGTGCAAACAGCAAACTATAGTTGTTCGTCTTTATTCACTCTGGTTTTGTTTAAAAGTGTGCTGGACTGGAAAATCTCATTGTTCTTAATTGCACTATAACAAAATTCCACCAAAAATCTGTTCCTGGTTTGAAAGTGTTATTTCCTGTTTAATTGTGTGGTCCTTACTTTGAAAGTCATTGTTCTACTCCAGAAACTTGTTTTTTGTGGCTGCCACAAACTAGGTTGAATGGGTTGAGACTCAATGAGATATTCAATGAAAAACTATAGCAAAATGTGCTGCAGGATGTCCTTCTCGCACAAACAAAGTTTGTGCAGTTTAATAAAAGTTTTCCATGTTTTTATGACAGAACCAATTAGGAAATGACATTTATAAGCCAGGAACAAAAATCGTGTTACATAGTGTTATCTAATCCTTTAAAATAGTGCTTTGAAAAGTTGATGGTAGTGACCCTGAACTACCTAAAATGCCCCGGTGGCGCAGTGGGTTAAACCCCTGTGCCGACAGGACTGGAGACCAATAGGTCGCAGGTTCGAATCCCGGGAGAGGCAGATGAACTCCCTCCATCAGCTCCAGCTCCTCATGTGGGGAGATGAGAGAAGCCTCCTATAAGGATGATAAAAACATCAAAACATCCGGACATCCCCTGGGCAACGTCCTTGCAGACGGCCAATTCTCTCACACCAGAAGCAGCTTGCAGTTTTCCAAGTCGCCCCTGACACGACAACCCCCTCCCCCCTAAAATGTTGTAAGGAAAGCCCTCACATTTCAGTGGGACTTTCTTCCAATATTCAAGCATGCTAAGAGTTGCATTCTTAATGGGGATTCTTATGCCCATTGCTAGTGGCTGGGTTTTGATTATTTTCCCTTAGTTGTTGACCCTACAGTTAGTAGCAAAACTGTGTAACCCATATGTTGTATCAATTCTAGCTGACCATAAAGGGTTTTGCACGTTATGAGTTCCTTGAAACCACTTGCTTGGGCTCCCTTTCTTTGGAAGACAGCCTCGCTCCCATGGAGAGAAATATATATGCCGATTTCTCTTGGAACAACGCCACAAAGGTCCTGCAGACACCTCCTCTCACTTCAGATGCTATCCTGGTAAGGAAAAGAGTTACCTTAGTTTCATTTATTATGATGATAGGATAGGATAGTACAAGCCCCGGGGGAGGGGGCATCAATACAAAATTTTGCAAAAAGTGTTATTTCAGCAAAACTCTTGGGGAAAAATGCATTCTAAGGAGTGAGGAGAGCATTTCCACCACTTTTGGGCCCATCCTCATTCAGTACTAAGCCCAAGAAAACTTTCAAGAAGCGGGAAATGACTCTTCCTCGCTTAATATTGTTCCCCTGGGCAATGTCCTTGCAGACAACCAATTCTCTCACACCAGAAGTGACTTGCAGTTTCTCAAGTTGCTCCTGACACGAAGAAAAAAACTTAATATTGTTTTTAAAATTTCTAGTGTTTATTAGAATATGCTATTTTCAGATTTTATGAATTGTACCAATAGAAAATGTATAAGTGATATGGGTAAACTATAAATCCCATAATCTGTCATCTATCCATTTCCCCCCCCCCCCCCCCCCCCCCGGGCCCACTGGCACCAGTAGTTAAAGCTGATCATGGTGGATATGCATGCTATGTTTGGTCCAGATCCATCATCGCTTGGGGGTTTACTGTGCTCTACAGCTCTCATCATTCTGGGTCTTTTTCCCCTCCAAGCCCTGCCAGTGCTTAAAGTTGGTCACGGTGGGTTTTTATGCCATATTTTGATCCAGATATGTCGTAGATGGGAATCACAGTAGTCTCTGCATGTGGGAGCCATCTTGGAAAATTTATTTCTATATTGTCTATATTAAGTCTATATTGACTTCTGTTTATTGATATAGATAGATATGGAATGGAATAGGGTAGAGGGGAATAAAAATAGGGGCTAGTATATAGAATAAAATATATGTAAGATAGATAGCTAGAAATAAAAGGTATAATAAATAAATAAATACTAGGTAGCTTGACTTATTAGTCTGAATGTGTTCCAGCAACTGTCTCTTCAACATTAGTAATTTTATTCTCTTAGAACATTCAAATGGCACCTGGGAGCACCTTGAGTTCTACATATGAGCTGTACAGGGAGCTGCAATTTATCCTTGTGAGTATACCAGCAACATTTCCCAATTAGAAGGCTGGCCTCTCAGCCAAAATTGTACTTGTTTTCAATTAAAACTTAATGCTGATGAGAACTGCAATGGAAAATGACGCATGTGTCCTTCTGTTTGCTTTCTTTTTCCATATTGCTAGAATTTAAGCGAAAGCTTGAAGAGTGGCACAACCGACTGGCCTAAGCCTTTGGGCCGGAAATCGGCTATTGAAGTGATGCAGAAACTTTTGAAAGGTAAAGTTGTAGTCTTCTTGAAACACCTGCCGGGCAACGCTTAACACAGCTAATTAAAAACATGTTTTTCTACAACCCTGGGGGCTTAATAAATCACCAATTCTGGGCATAATTTTATCAGTTTCAAGCTGAACTCTTGCCTTGTCCTTTTTTTGTGCTGCAACCCCATCATTTTATATTCTCTCAATCTTTAGATTTAAAGGATGAAGCAGATGGGTTGAAGACACCAAACCAAGATTCTTCTGAGGTATGTGATAAGACTACAGAATATACTCGAGTATAAGCTGAGTTTTTCAGCTTTTTTTAAGGCTGAAAAACTCCCCTTGGCTTATACTCAAGTCAAAGTTATTTAATATTTTACTTGGTTATTAGTATTTTTATTACATTTATTATTTTACTCTATTTACTATTGTTGTTTATAACATTGACATTGTTTTACTCTATTATTATTTTATTGCATTTATATTTTTCTCTATTATTATTACATTTATTATTTTTCTCTATTATTGTTTTTATTACATTTTCATTATTGTTCTCTATTTATTATATTTTATATCATTTATTATTTTACTCTATTATTATTACTTTTATTATTTTACTCTATTTATTATTGTTATTATTATATTATTTTAATCTATTATTGTTATTACATTTATTTTTTACCTTAATTTATTATATTACTCTAGTTTTGCTGTTATTACATTTTCATTGTTTTACTCTATTATTATTATTATTATTATTATTATTATTACATTTATTATTTTACTCTCTTAATTATTATTGGAACGATACGTAAGCACATTTACATTGAAGAAGGTTAGAATAAGGGTTTTACCAGAATTGGACAGTCTTATCTTACATTACAGTTTTATGTAAATATTCCAAACTATTTAAACTATGGATGCTTCAATTAATGTAATTTTATTGGTGTCTATTTTACGTTGAAATTTACCCATAGCTGCTGCATTTCCCACCCTCGGCTTAGACTCGAGTCAATACATTTCCCCAGTTTTTTGTGGTAAAATTATATTCGAGTCAGCTTATACTCGAGTATATATGGTATTTTAAAAAAAATAATGTTTAAACATTTTATTATTTAATTGATTAAAAGAAAGCATTTAACACAATGCAATTGCATTGCTACTCTGTCTCTTCCCAAATCGATACTCCCCCATCATTCACATAGCAATACATCTCTGTCAGTTCTATTGCTTTTTAGTTATTCCAATTTTCTCCATTATATATCATTGTGGTGGTGTGTTTTTCTAATTGTTTGTCCACAGTTTTTCTTGATCGTTTTGTGGGTTTAGATTCGCCATTGCTTTGACACATTGGAGCTTATTGACAGGTTTCATGTATTTCCAAAACGGTCTTCTTTTATTTCTCCTTTTGCTCACCTTAGTTTATAGGTTAACTTTTCAAATAGTTCTATAGGCCTTATCCTATTTGACCAAGCCTTTATTGATGAATTTTCTATAGCTTTTTTCCAGTTTCTAATATTTTTGAGTCTTGTGGCACATAACATGAATAATATATTTGTTTACCAAATCCTTATTCTCACTTTCAAATACGGAGATCATTAATAGAACTTCCCTAAAATGTATTATTTCCCTCACTATTTGTTTTATCCATGATAGAAATTCATTTCTGAATCTCCATACTTTTGAGCCAAATCTTAATTCCAAGGGGCTCCAAACCCCTTATTTTCCATACTTTAGGGATTCCGTTAATAATTCCATGTAGTTTAAGTAGATAGTAGTACAATCTATGCTTAGTTTTCAAAGTATTTTCTCTCAGTTGTGCTGAAATTGATTTATATGCTTGAGTTTTTCCAATTGTTTCTCTTCTGTCTTCAATCCTAGATCTGATTCCCATACCAAAGCGTAATCCATTTAATGTTCCAAATTTTACTTCCTGAATTTTCCAATACCATTTTGATACTTGTCATTTAGTTTGATTTGATTTATCACTACAGATGGATTCAAATAATGTTCAATGTATTGTCAAATAATGTTAATGCTCTCGGAGGGCCTCGTTTCCTGATGTAACACAATTTTTGTTCCCTAATTCATTCCCTAATTCGTTCTGTCATAAGACCTCACCTCTGAGGATGCTTGCCATAGATGCAGGCGAAACGTCAGGAGAAATGCCTCTAGAACATGGCCATATAGCCCGAAAAAACCCCACAAGAACTGAGATGGGAAAAGTTTATTAAACTGCTAAAACTTTGTTTTGGCGAGAGGAACATCCTGCAGCAGCACGTTTTGTAATCATTTTTCAATTAATATCTCATTGAGTCTCAGCCAATTCAACTTAGTTTGTGGCAGCCACAAAAGGTTTCTGGAGTAGAACAACTACTTTCAAATTAAGGAACACACAATTAAACAGGAAATAACACTTCCAAACCACGAACAGACTTTTTTTTCAAATTTTGTTACATAGTTATATATTTGTCTGAAGTGTGGTGATTTGTACCCATTGCTGACAATTGTTTCTGTATGCTGAAGTTGTATCACTCCCCTCTCCTTCACAGAGTCCCCAGGACACTAGCAGTGCAGTCTATGTTTCTATGGAAAGTCTTTTCAGTCAGAGAGGAAATCTGGATTTCGTGGAACTGCTGTGGTCTAAAATATGGAGAAGTATGTATGTTTTAAAGGCTTATAACTCCAGCTACCTCCTTTTCAGATTTCCAGCCTCTAAGATAAATGGCAAATGTTTTAAATATAGCCAGTCCCCGAGTTACAAACACCCGACTTACAAACAACTTATAGTTAAGAACAGAGCTTGGGTATCCGGTGTTGTCCGGGTTATTTGAAAAAGTCAGTTTTTTATTGTACAAAATGCATAAAGTTGTGGGTGAACTACAACTCGCATCATGCCAGGTTAACCCCAAAAAAACTCCATCAGTACTTAAAGTTGGTTATGTTGGGTAAGTTTTCTCTGGATGCATCTGACTGTAGAGTGCACTACAACTTACACTATGGTGAGTCAGTCCCCTCAAACCTCTCCAGTAAGTTGAGTTAGTCATGGGGGTTCTGTGTACTAAGTTTGGTCGAGGCCCATCAGTGGTGGAGGTCACAGTTTCTCTGGTTCCTAGAAAGGAAGGCCAATTCTCTGCACCCCCCCCCCCCCCCCAAACCCTTCCAGTAATCAAATTTTGCATATCAGGTATGCGTGCCAAGTTTGGTCCAGATCCATCAGTGTTTAGGTTCACAGTGCTCTCTTGATGTAGGTGAACTACAACTTTCCCAAACCAAGGTGAAATTCCTCCAAAGACCTCCAATATTTTTTGCTTTTTATGGGGGTTCATGATCGAGTTTTCAGGCCTGAAAACTCGGCTTATACTCGAGTATATATGGTGCATATATTGATCAAATCAGGAATGGTGTTTCATGAAAAATTAGTAATAATAATAATAATACACGTATTAGCTGTGGGGTACCTCTGAGTGTCTTCTGACCAAAAACGTTTGGGGTTTCGATAACTCATTGGTTGGTGCATTAATCTGCTTCCTTTTTTATCCACTCTTTCTTTAACACTGAACTCTATTCTTCCAAGATATCGTTTCCTATGAGGAACTGGTAGAATGTTTCACGTTGGTCATGAAATCCCTTCAGTGCGGTGAATTGCAGGCACCGGTAGGTATGAGGAACGGAGCGGGAATCTAGGCACAACTATCACCATTTTCGTTCCAAGGAAAAGGCCCATCAGCAGAATGGCCTGCACTCGACCTCCCAACAGCATACAACATGCAATTAGGACTTGAAAATAGGAACAGCAGTGAAGGCCACCAACTGAAACAGTGTTACGACTTAGAATCATAGCATTGGAAGAGACTCAAAGGGCCATCTAGTCCAACCCTCCACCCCTCCAGGCAGGAAAAGCACAATCAAAGCACTCCCAACAGATGTCCATCCAGCCTCTATGCTCTGCTAATACATCAACATTCCCTATATCTCAGAATCTTACAGTTTCTGCTCAGATTATTCAGAACATTTGAGGAGAAGAAACAATCCCAGTTTAAATCATTTCTTCTGGTAGACCTGTTGGGCCTCAACCACTGAGGAATTATTATCATTATTATGTATTAATATATCTCATTTTCTCTGCCAAAGAAGACCCAAAGCTGCTAATACTAAATACCATAACAATGTGTGAAAAAACCTAACATGTATTAGTGTTATTATTTCTACTCCATGTTTTCTCTGCCTAAGGAGACCCAAGGCAGTTGACACTAAAAACTATAACAATGTGTGGATTAAAACCTTAACATGTATTATTATTATTATTATTATTATTATTTATACTCCACGTTTTCTGTGCCAAAGAGACCCAAAACAACTACGTAACACTAAAAACCGTAACAATGTGAATTAAAACCTGACATTTATTATTATTATTATTATTATTATTATTATTATTATTATTATTTATACTTCATACTTTTCCTGTCAAAGAGGCCCAAAACAGCTAAATTTAAAAACCTTAATGTGTGAATTAAAACCTAATATCATATAAAAATTAAAATAGAATTAAATATTTAAAATAGCTAGCTAAAATCAATAATGCCATTAAACATCTGATTATCCTTGTATATTTCGGTGAAATAAAAAAAAATAATAGTGTGCATTTCATGTTGTTGAGCCTTCAGAAATAGCTTCATACATTGTTTTGGGTTTTTTTGCCATAATTGTTTTATATTTCAAGATATTTTGGAATTGGGATATAAATAACATGTATTTGGGTTGCTGTGAGTTTTCTGGGCTGTATGGCCACATTCCAGAAGTATTCTCTCCTGACGTTTCGCCTGCATCCATGGCAGGTATCCTCAAAGGTTGTGAGGTCAAACAAATGTGGGTGAAACGCCAGGAGAGAATGCATCTGGAACTCACAGCAACCCAGTGATTCCAGCCATGAAAGCCTTCAATAATAGAGAGAAATGATGTTCATCTAAACCCAAGGCTTGTTTGTTTTCTCATTCTAACTCCCAACTTGGGAAAATGACACACTCCCATCCTCCCCAACACAGTGACATGTATTTTGTCCTCATAGGTCCATGAAGAAAGCAGCAGTTTGCTGAGCAAACTGATTAAACAATCCTATTATGGAAACGTTGAGCCGGTTTCTCTTAGTGGTGATGCTCCCATGCGGATGTTTCTTGAAATCGGCGTGGATAAATTGAAGAGGGATTATTTCCACTATTTTGTAGGTATGTACACTTTGGGCCCAACCATTATAGTTCTGTTCCAGCATTCCATCACTTTTTAAAGTAATCATTTCTGATTTAAGCATATATATATTGGGCTAGTCATCAAACAGCGCTTCACCGGGATTGTGGCGCAGCTGGCTGAGTGTCAGCTGCATTATGATCACTCTGACCAAAAGGTCATGAGTTCGAAGCCAGCCTGGGTTGGAGTGGGTTTCCAACCAATTGTGTGTAGCCTGTTGTTGACCTTTGCAACCCGAAAGACAGTTGCATCTGTCAAGTAGGAAAATAGGGTACCACCTTAAAGTGTGGGGAGGCTAAATTAACTGATTTATGAGGCCATAAAGAAGACTCCAGCAAAGCATTCCAGCGGGGAAACATGCGGGAATGCAGAAGTGCTTCATCAGCGTCGCAGATGGACGATTAAAGCGACAGCTCCCCTGGCGGCCAGAAAAAAAAGTTAAATAGCCTCTGTGTATGTCTGTATATGTTTGTATGTCAAAAATTGGCATTGAATGTTTGCCATATATGTGTACACTGTAATCCGCTCTGAGTCCCCTGCGGGGTGAGAAGGGCAGAATATAAAAGCTGTAAATAAATAAAATAAATAAATAATTCAAAGTTCTGACAAGTAAACAGATGCTGGATTTGTTTCACGGAAGAGTTCATTGATATATTAACTTGCAAATAATGGTTTTTTTAAAAAAAGTCCTTAGATGAAGTTGTCCCGAAGGTTATCTCTATCGATTTGAGTTTCTGTTACAATTTTTCAGTTAGAATGAGGTCTTGTGACATTTTTACATAGATATTCTTTCTAGTTTTTTATAAACAGTAAAAATTAAGATGTAATATTTCATATTAATGGCGTATATTTTCAAACTATTTCAGGCAAAGAACTTACAACGCAGACTCAGTTGGTAAGATACGTGCAATCTACTTTCATTCCTTGTAAGCAAAAGTGAAATAATAACTAGAGAACTGAGCATTATTTATTTTCCCGGTGGCATGCAAAGTTAGCAAAATGAATGTCAACAAGGAGAAATGTAGGATACTTCACTGAGGCAGAACAAATGAAACTCCCAAAGATAGGTTGAGTGATGCTTAGTTCCACAACAGAGTTATATGGGAAAGAGACCTTGGAGTCTTAGTGGACAACAAGCTGAACATGAGCCAGGAATGCGATGTAGCAGATAAAAAAGTTAATGCAATTGTAAGTTGCATCAGTAGGAGTCTCGTATCTAGATCAGTGGTTCTCAACCTGTAGGTCCCCAGGTATTTTGACCTACAACTCCCAGAAATCCCGGCCAGTTTACCAGCAGTTAGGATTTCTGGGAATTGAAGGCCAAAACATCTGGGGACCCACAGGTTGAGAACCACTAGTCTAGATTAAGGAGAACCATGGAACCCCTCTCCTGCTGTGTTCACACCTCTTTACCTGGAATAATAACCCTGTCCAATTCTGGGCAAAGCGATTTAAGAGAGATACTGACAAGATGGAACTTGTCCAGATGAGGGCAACTGAAATGATCAAAGGTCTGGAGACCATGAATCCCTATGAGAAAAGTATTAAAGAGCTGGGTCTGTTTAGCCTACAATAGAGAAGGTAGAGAGGAGACATGATCACTGTGTTTACATATTTGAAAGGATGCCATAAGGAAGAGGGAATAGAACTTGTTTTTTTCTGCCCTGGAGACTAGGACTCAATGGAGTCATGGGTTCAAATGACAGGAAAAGATACTCCACTTGAACATTAGGATGAACTTCCTGAATTTGAGAGCTGTTCAGCAGTGGAACTCGCTGCCTAGGAGTGTGGTGGAAGGTCCTTCTTTGGAGACTTTTAAACAGGCTGGATTGCCTGAATCCAAACAGGCTGGATTGCCTGAATCCTACTGGTCAGTCGTAAGGCCGAACAGGGCATAGGGTTACAGCCTGTGTTAGATGGGGTTACACTCCCCCTGAAGACACAGGTTCGCAGCTTGGGAGTGATCCTGGACTCATCGCTGAGCCTGGAACCCCAGGTCTCAGCGGTGGCCGGGAGAACTTTTGCATAATTAAAACTTGTGCACCAGTTGCGCCCGTACCTTGGGAAGTCAGATCTGGCCACAGTGGTCCATGCTCTTGTTACATCCCGAATAGATTACTGCAACGCACTCTACGTGGGGTTGCCTTTGAAGACTGTTCGGAAACTTCAATTAGTCCAGTGAGCGGCAGCCAGATTACTCACCAGAGCGTCATATAGCGAGCATACCACCCCTTTGTTATGTCAGCTCCACTGGCTGCCGATCCAGTTCCGAGCACAATTCAAAGTGCTGGTTCTGACCTACAAAACCCTATACGGTTCCGGCCCAGCGTATCTGTCTGAACGCATCTCCTTCTACATCCCACCTCGGAGTTTAAAATCTCTGGGGAGGCCCTGCTCTCAGCCCCACCTCTATCACAAGCGAGATTGGTGGGGACGAGGAGCAGGGCCTTCTTGGTGGTGGCCCCTCGCCTGTGGAATTCACTTCCCGGGGAAATTAGGTCATCGACATCCCTCCTCTCTTTTAGAAGGAAACTAAAAACATGGATATGGGACCAGGCCTTTGGGTAATCTGGCAGATAGACAAAGGACAATGACGACTAGAATTGATAGGATTTGACAATGTGGAATGAATTTACAGATTCTGAGCTGGCGAACGTTGAGCATTAGATTGGTTTTATTAATTGTGATGTAGAATTGATTGTTTTAATTGTTTTATAATTGCTGTTGATATGTGTTTATATCTTATTGTTTGTGTTGGCATCGAATTGTGCCTTTTGTAAGCTGCCCTGAGTCCCCCCTCGGGGGTTGAGAAGGGCGGGGTAGAAATGCGCGAAATAAATAAATAAATAAATAAAATCTGTTGAGGGGGATTTAATTGTGCTTTTCCTTCCTGGCAAAATGGAGTTGGACTGTATGGCCCTTGGGGTCTCTTCCAACTCTGTAATTCTATGATATCTTATGAATTGCATTCAGCAGCTGACTCCAGGGCTAATGGTTTCTGCCTTTGCCCATCTCTCCCTTTCTCTCAGGACTACTTCATGTCTGCTTCGGTTGACCTGCAGGAACAGGTCCATCGAGTGCAGAAGCTTCATCACATGCTGGAGATCATGCAGAACTGTGTCGAGCTCCTCAAACTTGAGCAGGAACACCTCATCTTTTTGACGCAGTAAGTGTTTGCCTTTATGTTTTTCTTTAAGCAAATTAAAAACTGGTTGAAGGAACCACAATAACAATTTCTTCTTCCTCCTCCTATTCTTATTTGTACCCCAATTCATCTCTCTAAAAATGAGACTCAAATTACTAACAGTAAAATACATGGGCACTTTTAGCACATATGCACTTGCACAATAGATATATAGTCTGCTTGGAGTTAGCTAGTATCTTTTTGATTTTTTTAAAATAAGGCCACAAGGTTTTATGAAGTCTGCGGATGCAATTGAGTTTTAAGTGTAAATAATTTTATTGGATGTTCCTTTTCCTTCAAGGTTATAGGTGGGGTAGAAATACTTTTCTATAATTAAGTAGATTATTATTGTTGCTGTTATTATTTCTCCTCTGCTGTATCTCTCTAAAAATCATATATAATTTAAAACCAAAAAAATAGGATTAAACATTGAAACTATTAAAAAATAAACAGCGAAAATAATTAAAAACCCATTTTAAAAACATCCAAAGATCTACCCAGTCACTCAGTTTTCACTATGAAATTTTAAAATCACATCCCATGTTTATTGTGTGTTTTTAACGTTTCTTTCATAGATTTAAATATCTGTATGTTTAAATATATGCTTTTGTGGTTGTATTTTAATTATGTTTTAATATGTGGGTTTATCTTGACCTTCTTGAGACACCTTGAGGTAATATTATTATTATTGATACAGTTGAATTAATTTTAGTATATTTTATTATTATTATATTATTGTATTTTATATTGTTATTGTTACTATTATTATATTATTTTATTTTAGTGTATTTTTATTATATTGTATATATGTTATCATCTCTTATATTGTTACTGTTACTATTGTATTATATTTTATTTTAGTGTGCGTGTGTGTGTGCGTGTGTGTGTGTGTGTGTATATATATATATATATACATATATATATGTATATATATATTATAATGTAAAGGTCAAGGTTTTACCCTGACATTAACTTGAGACGTGTCCAAATCTGGGGGTTGGTGCTCATCTCAATTTCTAAAGAGCCAACGTTTTTCGTAGACACCTCCAAGGTCATGTACCGTTGCCTTCCCGCTGGAGTGGTACCTATTGATCGACTCACATTTGCATGTTTTTGAACTGCTAGGTTCAAAAACATGCAGACTATAGTTATTGACAAAAACAGACTATAGTTATTGACATAAGCAGACTGAGTTGGACATGATTTTATTTTGGTGAACTGGCTTATATGTATTTTATTTTATATGTATTTAATCTGTTGTATGATGTTTTAACTGTTAACCAGTCTGAGTCCCTCTGTGGAAATCGAGAAGATCGGGATATAAATGTTTTAAATAAATAAATAAATAGGTTGGCAGAAACAGCGGCAGCTCACCCTGCTCCCTGGATTCAAACCGTCAACCTTTCAGTCAGCAAGTTCATCAGCTCAGCGGTTTAACTCGCTGCGCCACTGCGGGGCCCTATATGTTGTTGTTGTTGTTATAAACCTATTCACATCCCTAAAAATATCTCTTTTTAGGTCCTGTATAAAATACTACAAGGAAAACCCCCTGAATGAAAAACATGTATTTCAGCTTCCAGTCAAGACGGCTTTTCTGAAGGCGTTCTACCAAGGGTAAGCTCAATCTCAATACTTAAACTAGGCCTAGCCAATCTTTATCAACCTTTTTTTAGGGTCAGGGATGAGAGGACCAAAGGCGGTGGGACACACTGTAGGTCTTTGTCATTCTTCCCTTGTTCATTCTCTTTCTTGTTCCTTAAAGCCCATGGCGTTTGCCTTGATTCTCTATCCTACCTCTCTTGAACTCTTAATAAACAGTTTTTTTCCTTTTGGCCTAGTGCTTTCCCCCAAGTTTGGAGAGTGGAAATCAGCAGTGGACAAGGGCCGAAGAAACTGAGAACAGTGTGGCAGCTCAGCACCAGCCCTCCAGATGAACATATGAATGCAAGCCTTATAGGTGAGTGGCCTTTACGGTCTGAAGCCTGGTGCAGTAATTCTGCTTTGTGTTCTTTGTCTTTCCTTACAAATAAGTCCAGTGTCTCCCCTGGCACCCAAGGCATCTTGTATTTTTCCCCCATGCTCTTTATTATTATTATTATTATTAGTAGTAGTAGTAGTAGTTTAGGTACCCAGTGATGCCTGGGTTAGATCTTTTGGAAGGACAAATAGTATTAGAAAAATAGTCATTGTTTGGTTTGGGATTGTGAATCTCCCCATTTCTGAGATTCCTAGGTCTTTCCGAATGTGGTTGCAGTATGAGCTCTCGCTGTTAGGCCCAGCTCCTGCCAACCTAGCAGTTCGAAAACATGCAAATGCAAGTAGATCAGTAGGGGGAAGGTAATGGTGCTCCATGCAGTTATGCCGGCCACATGATCTTGGAGGTGTCTTCAGACAACGCCGGCTCTTCGACTTAGAAATGGAGATGAGCACCAACCCCCAGATTCGAACACAACTGGACTTAATGTCAGGGGAAAACCTTTACATTTACCTATATTTATATCATGCCTTTCTCAACGCCAAAGGGGACTCAGGTGTTGGGTCTGTGTGCCAAGTTTGATCCAGATATATTGATAGTTGGATTCATAGAGCTCTCTGGATGTGGATGAACTACAACTCGCATCATTATCTGTCATTGTCCCCAATCCACACCAGTATTTAAAGTTGTTTGTGATGTGTATGTCTGACAACTTTGGTCCAGATCCATCGATGGTTGTTCCACATGCTCTCTGGATGTGCTCTCATTTTGGAAAATACATAGAGAGATATAATATAATAGAAATATATAGAGAGATATTGATGATGATAATGATGATGATTATTATTATTATACTGGGTCAGCCCTCCACAAAACACCTCCAGTATTTAAAGTTGGTCATGATGTGTATGTTTGCCAGGTTTGATCCAGATTCATCAGTGGTTGGGTTCAGCGTGCTCTCTGGATGTGCTCTCACTTTGGAAAATACATAAGAGAAATATAATATAATTGAAATATATATAGTAGAAATAGATTATTGTTATTATTGTTATTATTATAATACTGAGTCAGCCCCAGAAATATAGTAGAAATGTTATTATTATTATTATTTTACGGACACAAAAGCACAGTATGGCACAGCAAATGAGATCTATATGCTGGATTTCGTATCACAAAATCACAAGTTGAACACTTCCCAAGCGTCTAGGACTGTGTGATGTATTATTATTATTATTATTATTATTATTATTATTATTATCTTGCAGGTCTCCTGGATGAAACAGAAGCTTGCATCAGCAAAGAGGAAACGTGTTTCACCACTCTGGCTGACTGCTCTGCAGTGTACTTTGGCTGACAATAGATTGTTTATGTAGACTTCCTTAACTGTTGTAAAACTGGTGGAGGTACACAACATCAGCGGTGTATTGAAATCACTTGCCTTAACATTTCAAGGAGAATCAATGGGAAACACATATATAATATAGCTGTTAGGCATTAAAATAGCAACCCATTATATATGTATATAGTATTTATGTCACATTGACAGTTTGTTTGGTGGCTGTATTAAATGCAGCGAAGGGAAAGGGAAATCCGCAGAGACTGAAAGGAAAAGATGTCTGTGTCAAATAAATATACAATCCTGGCAATTTCTAGGGAAGCAGCATTTTTTCTGGATTCGTGGATGTACGTTTTTTTCTCCAGGTTTGCAATTTTTTTATCAGTTCCAGCTCTGGAGTAGTGTTGGTTTTAAGCACAACTGCTTTCATCAGGGAAAAGGTTGATTTTGGTTATCCAGTTCAAGCCAAACTGGCCATATGCCGTCCTCCCCACACGATGGCAGCATTGGAACAGTTTATTCTATTCTTTTCATCCATTCAAGACACATAAGCTCTGATTTGTGCTTCCTTCTGAACTTTCAAGGCAAGTCGGGGCCTGCAATTGTATTTAAACCTTTCCTTATGAGATAATGCAGAAAAGGCCGAAGAGCCAAACAGCTACTGGGCAACAGCAGGAGTGGAAAATGGAGTTCACTGGGACAAAGGCATGGCGGGAGGGGTTTGGTAAATCTCTTTTCAGTATGTTTTGCCATGAAAACCTTATGAAGAGAGACTCCAAAGGGGAAAACAGTGCCATGAGTTGTGACTCCCACTGATTGCAAAAAGAACAAATCTACATATGCACACAGCCTTGATTAGCATACAACAACAAAATCGCAACACAGGCATATACAGCAATAGGAAGTCACAGGAAAGCATAATTAAGAACTACTTATCTCAAGGATAAAATTTGCCACAGTCTCACAAAAGAATGTCTCAGAGTTGTTCAGAAGGTATGGGATTGTATAACATCTGTGCCATTGAGAAGACTTACATGGAATTAATGATGCGGTAGGGGAACAAGTGGTCTTTGCGGCAAGACTCAGACTGTGAAGGTCAAGATCCAAAACTCTGCTCTTGATGGACTTACAGGCCTCCACATTAAATAAAAAGGACAAATCAATGGGCACCAGAGCAAACCCAGGTCTGAACTCTCCCTAGAAATCGTGTTGACTGAAGCGAGGCTGTCGTATTTTGGACACATTGTGAAAATACAGGATTCAGGAGGAAAGACAGTAAGACTTGGTAAGGAGGAAAAAGGGGGGAAATCCATTCTAGACCGAGAGATTCTCTCAAGCCAGAACCCTATGGTTGAGGATTGCTGACTTTGAGGTCTCTCCTTCATTGGAGCATCACAAATCAAATTCAGTTTGAAGACAGTTAACAACAATTGTGTCAAACCAATGTAAGTAGAGATTGCACAGCCCAATCACAGCAAAAAAAATAATATTGGTGTCTTCGTTTTTAGTCCTGGGGTTCTTTGAGACATTGATTCAGAATGTTGCAATGTGTAGATATGGTTATCATAGTTTTACTATGGGCGACAGGTAGATGGCATATGTTCTGCATCCCAAAAACTAGAGCTTAAGAGGGGAAATTGACCAACCAAATATACCCAGAAACAGGCCTGAGGTTCCAAAATGTGTGTTGGCCGCACATTTTGGGCTATTTATTTGCAATGTTATGGTTTTTCTAGGCAGGATTGGCTCAAGACATTTTGTTACCCGAGAGGGAAGATTTACAGGCTTAGAAAGGTATAGCAAAGGCCTCATTCCAGTTCTCAGTCCTGAGTAGAGCTACTAAATCCATTGCATTTGCCCATGCAATTCACCTAACATTCAAGGGTTGGGTCAATTTCTCATTTTTGGATTTCATTATCATGCCACCTTTCTCCAGGAGTGGAATCCCAGGCAAGTGATTATGTCTGCTAAGGTTGTTAGTTATTATTATTAGTATTATATTGTATTACATTATAATATTATCAATATTATAGTATATACAATATATTATATTATATTATGTGTTGGAAATCGCCCTGAGTCCCCTCGGGAAGATTGGCCAGTCTATAAGTAAAGTATTATTATTATTAAGTCACATTTCTGTTCCTAATTTGAAAGTGTCATTTCCTGTTTCATTGTGCGGCCCTTCCTTTGAAAGTAGTAGTTCTACTCAAGAAACTTAATTTTTATGGCTGCCACAACCTAGGTTAAATTGGTTGAGATGCTATGATGAGATATTAATTTAATCATAGAATCCTAGAGTTAGAAGAGACCTGGTGGGCCATCCAGTCCAACCCTATTCTGCCAAGAAGCAGGAAAATCGCATTCAAGGTACCTGTAGAATCATAGAGTTGGAAGAGACCTCATGGGCCATCCAGTCCAACCCCCAAGAAGCAGGAAAATTGCATTCAAAGCACCCCTGACAGATAGCCATCCAGCCTCTGTTTCAAAGCCTCCAAAAAAGGAGCCTCCTCCACATTCTGGGGCAGAGAATTCCACTGCTGAATGCCTCTCACAGTCAGGAAGTCCTTCCTAATGTTTAGGTAGAATATTCTTTCCTGTCTTTTGAAGCCATTGTTCTGAGTCCTAGTCTCCAGGGCAGCAGAAAACAAGCCTGCTCTCTCCTACCTATGAAAAACAATAGCAAGATGTCCTTCTCACAAGAACAAAGTTTTGGCAGTTGAATAAACCTTTCCCATGTTTTTTGATAGAACCAATTAGGAAATGAGATTTATAACCCAGGAACAAAAATTGTGTTATAGTGCTATCATGGTGTGTCCTATAGAAGATGGGACATTGGTCTCCAAAAAGACAATTTCCCAATTTTTGGAGTTGGAGAACAGCAAGGAACATTGAACCACATTCCAATTCTGGTGGTGCAAGTGGAAGAAAGGCAGACACTCAGTGGGTTGCCAGCTCCAATTAACCGGAGATGTATATTTACTCTGTAATGAAGCTATTAATTGGTTAATCACACTCCACCATCAACTCATGCTTTCAGGCTTAGCTGGCGTCCTCATGTTGCCCACAGGGAACAATTCTGCAGCGCCGGCCCAAGTGCCCTATCTCTCTAGTATGGGATCCCAGCAGAAGCAAAACATTGTAAGAGTCACATTTCTATGCGCACTTTTGTTGTGGTTCTTCTTACCTAATAACACTATGTAACACAATTTTTTGTTCTGGGTTTTAAATGTCATTTCCTAATTGGTTCTATCATTAAAAAAACATGGGGAAAGTTTATTAAACTGCAAAAACTTTGTTTCTGTGGGACAGACATCCTGCTATAGCACATTTTGCTCTAGTTTTTCAATGAATGTATCATCATTGCGTCTCTACCTATTTAACATAGTTTGCGGCAGCCACAAAAACAAAGTTTCTGGAGGATAGCAACTACTTTCAAAGTAAAGGCCACACAATTAAACAAGGAATAACACTTTCAAACCAGGAACAAATCATTTTTCCAAATTTTGTTACATAGTGTAAACAAAATTGAATAGTTTTCCATGTCTAGGTTTCCAAGGCGGGAGTTTATATTGCTGGAAGAAACCTTAACAACCTTAGATATACAGATGATACCACTCTGATGACTGAAAGCGAGATGGAGCTGAGGAGCCTTCTAACCAAGATGAAAGAAGAAAGTGCAAAAGCTGGGTTGCAGTTAAACATCAAAAAAATCAAGATGATGGCAACCAGACTGATTGAAAATTGGCAAATACAGGGAGAAAACGAAGAGGCAGTAACAGACTTTGTATTTCTAGGAGCAAAGATGATTGCAGATGCAGACTGCAGCCAGTAAATCAGAAAATGTTTCCTTCTTGGAAGAAGAGAGCTGGATGCAAGTACTGGACCATAAGGAAGGCTGAGCAAAGGAAAATTGTTCCTTTTGAATTGTGTGAGAGTGCCTTGGACCGCGAGAAGACCAAACCAGTCCATAGTGCAGGAAATAAAGCCCAATTACTACTTAAGGGAGGGAAGGATATTGGAGACAAAGATGAAGTACTTTGGCCACATAATGAGAAGACAGGAAAGCTTGGAGAAGACTATGATGCTGGGGAAAATAGAAGGAAAAAAGGAAGAGGGGCTGACCAAGGGCAAGATGGATGGATGGTATCCTTGAAGTGACTGGCTTGACCTTGAAGGAGCTGTGGGTGGCCTTGGCTGACAGGGAGCTCTGGTGTGGGCTGGTCCAGGAGGTCATGAAGAGTCAGAAGCCACTGAACAAACAAACAACAGTGTAACATGAGCCGCCACACACCCCCCCCCCCAAGGTTGGCAATTTGATTTTGCTGAGAATGAGTTATTAACAGTTAATTATTTGCATGTTGTATGGTTCCTATACAATATATCAATATGTATATCTGACATACTTTTTTAAAAATTAGAATCCTAATGTCCCGATGCCAGTGGAGATTAGGGGGAAAGAGAGGAAGGAGTGAGGAAAGCATAGAGTTTAGAAGAAAGTACAGGAACACAGAAAAGTGAGGCTATTTTGATGCCAAACACACCACTCCTCTCACTGTTCTTTTCACATGACAAGCTAAACAAAATGTACAAACCTGTCTTTTTGGCCCTGCACGTGAATGTTGCAAAAATTATTACTTTTAGAAGTAAGTCAATATTTTGGTATGAAAAAACTAAAAGACGATCAACCGCAATAAAATGAACATCTAGAGACAGGATATTCTCGCTTATTATTATCATCATAAGGTAAAGGTAAAGATTTTCCCCTGACATTAAGTCCAGTCATGTCCAACTCTGAGGGGTCATCTCCATTTCTAAGCTGAAGAGGTGACGTCCGTAGACACCTCCAAGATCATATGGCTAGCATGACTGCATGGAGTGCCGTCACCTTCCTGCTGGAGCGGTACCTATTAATCTACTCGCATATGCATGTTTTTGAACTGATAGGTTGGCAGATGCTGGTGCTGACGGCGGAAACGCACCCTGCTCCCCGGATTTGAACCGCCGACCTTTTGGTCATCAAGTTCAGCAGCTCAGAGGCTTAACTTGCTGTGCTGCCTGGGGGGGGGGGGGTCATCATCATAACCGTATTATCACCAATGAATGGAATTAAGTTGGACCCTTATTCAATGCAGGTTTCTTAGATCCATAGTGCCTTGGATATTACTACAGACCACATGATAGTTGTTCTATTTCATGACTTGACTGCCGGGGCCTCATTACACTAGAGAAAAAAAATCAACTTTAAATCTGGTTTCTGCCTCCTGCAGAATTTTGGGGTTTGTAGTTTGTAGCCTTTAACAGTCTCAT